CATAAAAAACAAGTTGAAAAATCGTGGGAACGATACAACGAAAATGGTGAATTCATGAAACCAACAGGAAACGAACGCGGAATGAATGTTCAAGAACAGGAACTCGGACTCAGAAAAGGGAAAAACTCCCCACGTATTTCAAAAATTCCAACACTGTGCAATATCAAAAACCAACAGAACTAACGACACACTCCTACGTGAGTGGTCGAGCATTTCACCACTCAGAAGCCAAATTCAATTCCACATCCGGAAACCACTCGATGGAAATTGTCAAGACTCAAGCAGCGAGTTGTCTTACACAACAAGCAAATGACAGGAATGACGGCAACTATCATAACATTGCTGGTATGTTTCTGCGCTACTGAATACTGATCTACACTGAAAATACAATCATTTGCCCTATTTTGCCCACAAGCCAACCTCCATCCTCATGATACAGGATTCACAGCATAATCGACAGTAAGGTACACATTCCTGAGTTGTGTGGAACAGCTGTTACCCACCAATTCTCCAGCAATTCAAGCTTGACTACGGAATTTCATCTCGATTTTGGATTTACTACTCCGACTTGGTATCCAATGCACTTGTGTAATGTTAAAGATGGGAGGTGGTTTCAAAAATGCTTCCTCCAAGGAGAATGGAATCTCCTTCAGGGATGGAACAATGATATTCCAAATATACCCGATACGACGAAACACTAAATCCGTATTTTAGGAATGACCTTCTTTGACAATGATTCATAAGTGCGCGCTCAGAACATCTAGCTCAAGGATTATATACGAGGGTTGCCTTTTATATTTCGGGATTTGGAAACACTAGTGTAGCAATCTAGCAACTGACACAACTATCGTGAAGTTTTACCATTTTGAGGTTTTGTTGCGTAATTTGGTCGCGATTTGTGTTGTATACACTAAGTTATAAGGTTTTGTTTAGGCCAAGTTATGGGGTTGAACCGTGAGCATTTTCGCGCGATTATTTTCTACAACTTTCGACGTGGACTAACTCAACAGCAATGCATGGATGAACTACTTCAATTTTTGGTGATGAAGCTCCATCCAGGACCAGTGTTTATCGATGGTACAGTGAGTTCACCCGATGTCGTAGTTCACTCGAAGACGAATTTCGTGGAGGTCGTCCAAAATCAGTTGTCGTTCGGGAAACGGTTGATGCTGTGAACAAATTAATACTGCAAGATTGTCATGCGACCTATCGTGAGATTGAGGCAACCTTAGGCATTAGTGGGACTAGCTCACATTCAATTTTGCATGAACATTTGACTGTAAAAAAATTGCTTTCAAAAAATTTGTCAATCCCCCAAAAAAGGACTCGTGTCGATTGGTCGAAAGAAAAGCTCAGAAAAAAAGATCGTTGTGCTTCGAAACACGTCTATGACATCGAGACAGGCGATGGATCATGAATTTATGCGTATGAGCTCGAAAGGAAACAGCAGTCGGCCGTATGGGTATTTCAAGATGAGCCAAATCCAAAAAGAGATGTCCGCGCACCAAGCACTTCCAAGCAATTGATCTCCTGTTTTTTTTTTGGAAAAACTGGACATGTCGTGACCGCACCACTAGAACAAGCAGAACAGTCAATTCTGAGTGGTATACCACCATTTGTTTGCCAGTTAACTTCCAAAAAATCAGGGAAACCAACTGCTGAAGACGGGTCACTCTTCACCACGACGATGAGAGCTCCCACGCATCGGCTCAAACAACTGCATTTTTGAGCACTCAAAACAACGATTGATGAGTAATCGGCAATATAGCCCCCGGGTGGCTTCTTCTCATGCCGTACGTAAAAAATAAAATGAGAGGCCAACGTTTTTTGACAGCTAAAGAAGCCGTTGTTGCCATCAGAATGCATGTTTTAGAGTTACCTTAATCAGAGTGGCAAAAGTGCTTTGAAAAATAGTTCGAGCCCATGCAAAAGTGTGTAGATCTTAATGTGGGGAATTTTGAAGACAGTCAAGCGATTTTCAATATATAGTATTTGTTCCTGTTCTCAAGTCCCGAAATATAAAAGGCAACCCACGTATTACTATCGGTGTATTACCCAAAAGTTGTACCAGATAATAGATCCACTTTACCTTTTATGATTTGGACCAATGTTCTCACACAGGGTGCGCCATACATAAGGTAACAAAAATAACTGTTGCGTAGAAATCGCATTCGAATTGATACATGTTGCATTTTTGAGAACTATTTACTCCATCAACAAAATGATTTCGCGGTCATATGTAATCGTCTCCTGAACTAAGTATAGCCTAGAAACGCCTCGGCTACTCGTCGAGGGCGGCACACGGAGTTACTAGAAACTTCAGCTCTGGCTTTTTGCAAAGTTGGAACGACTGCCAGACGACTGCGAAGTTTCACCATTGAAGCAGATATGTGAGCCAAGGTAGTACTGTTCAGCAAAGTATGCGTTTTCACTTTTTCAACTATAACTTCCGCTAATTCCAAACATCCTGTAGAAAAATTGAATAATAGATGACACAAACAATAAATATCACATTAAGCAACGATCTAGCAACATCAGAACTGATGTTTTTTTTATCACCCTCAACGCTCACTTTCACCTTACAAGGGAGGGATCCCAAGTCGAAATGGCCATTTGAGATGAGACCTACACTGCTAGACGTATTTTTTGATGCTGATTTCGAATCTGCATTCAAAATCTGTCAAACGATTGCCTGAACGAAGTTACGGAGGTGGTCTCCGGATAGCGCTCAACAGGAGAAAACACAAAAGCCATGGTCGCCGATAGTCCAGCAGTGGCGGCTTGGAGTAAAGGCAAGCGTGACACTTCATAGGCATAGGGCCAAGCATCGGGTTTGACGAGCGACTGCGTTTTTACATTTTGCAAGACTTTTTCTTCCAGGTTGTAAAAATGTTTTTATGTTAGTTTTACCACCTTCAGCGGCTTTTTAGTTTCTGGGGAAGAGTCAGTTCCTACTTAAGCCGTCTGACATCTGCTCTAGCCATCAACATGACAAAAATTCTGTTCTTATACATTTCACATTCATTGTAGGATAACTTCTCCCTATTGTAGCAGATGTGATAATCTAGCACGAAATGAAGTTTATAATAAAGTTTTCCACAATGAGCGCAACGAAAGAAAAAAATTTCGTCGCGGGCTGTTCCTTCACAATCACTTACTGCACCAGATGGAAAGCAGAACTGTGTAGGTGCCACAAAATCACCTGGATGTGTGCTCAAGAAGCCGGCGGCGTGCCATGAGTAAGAGAAACCTCGCGGGAGCACAGAATTGGAGGTACACCAGTGACACTAATCGGAGATTTGAGTCGCGAGTATAAACGCAAAACTAGAGATCATGATCAATGCATATGCAGTGATACGTTTGTACATAATTTTGAAAGGCAACGAGAAATAAACGTCCAGCGGCTGTATGAACCTCGTAGTACCGGCTGGGATGTTCATCACCTTCAACTGGTTTTGTGAAGGTAGTGCGGACTGGATTGCTTCATGACTTTAAACGATGTCCAAGAGTCCACCAGCATCAACATTGATGCTGGTGAGTCCGGAGCAGCCACGCGTGATCGAACCCACTCCAACATCAATTAGTTGCTCATTATGTGCGTTCTAATCGCCCGAACATCCACATTCGGGGCATTCCCCTTCTTCTTCGTTCCTATTAAAGTCGACTGGCCCATTTCGGTGTGGAGACCGTTATGACAGGAACTGATTCACCTCGAGCATTCAAAACGTCGCCGAAAGCGGTAAAACTAACATAAAACCACTTTTACAACCTGGAGGGAAAACTGCTACAAAATGCAAAAACACAGCCCCCCATCAAACCCGATCCTTGGTCCCATGCCTATGAAGTGTCACACTTACCTCTACTCCAAGCCGCCACTGCTGGAGTACCGGCGACCATGGCTTTTGTGCTTTCTCCTGTTGAGCGCTCTCCGGAGACCACCTCCGTAACTCCGTTCAGAGAGTCGTTTGGCAGATTTCGAATGCAGATTCGAAATCAGCATCAAAAAATACGTCTACCAGTGTAGGTCTCATCCGAAAAGGCCACTTCGACTTGGGATCCTTCCCTTGTTAAATACCTCGTGGGTTTTTATGTTAAGAAGTTGGAGTGGATCTTGCTGTTTCGTGTCGCGCCATTCACTGAGTACATTAATAAGGCTCTGTCAATGACACTGGAGGATTCGCAACTTGCGGCAAGACCAAGGTTGTTATCTGACCGTATGTTTGCAGTACTGGCCCCGGTGACTCAATTTTCCACCAAGTTAAAGGTCTCAGGGCTCGTAATGAACAAGAAAAGTCCTTCAACTGGATATCGCATGGGAGAACATTCCTCAGGAGGAGATCGACAAGCTTGTCGAGTCCATGCCACGCAAGCCGTTTTTGATTGTTACACTAGCTCGTTTATGAGCTGTGGCGTTGAGAAATTAGAAATTAAGACAGATTGAAATTATACTGATATGATGATGCCTTACCTTTACATTTTTCTAGAAGCAAAATCTTTTGAAATACTCCACAATTCACTTGGACGTCTGAAAACTTGGTTCCTGATCACGTCCAGTGAGTATAGTGATAGGCGTTCACAGCGGATAAATCAGAAGAAAATTTGTGTTTGGAGGAAGCCTTTCAAAAAAGTGAAAACGCATACTTCACTGGATGCGCCACTGTATATGATAAACATGAGAGCATATGCAGATTTGGAAGAAACCCTCTAGACAAGGAAATTACCGACTTTTGTTGAGTTGTTACCATAATTATGGCGCATATTGTAGAATGTGAACCGAAGTTTATGAACCATAAGCACAAAATGGAATGGTGAGGAACTAGCCATGTGTAATTTCTCCCTTATTACGAAACTGAAAAACCGGGAAACAATGAAACCATCTGGAAACATAAATGTCTACAGCTATGATGTCCGAAGTAGTGAAGCGATATACCCTCTAAGTGACATGAACAGTAAGACAAAACACAAGAGAAGCATCGCTACCAAAGAGATTCCAACCGGTATTATATGTGTATCACAGCGACAACGAGTATGACGATTTTGACAACGTGCCGCACAAATGCACTCCCACAATCACTGCACGGGGCGACACGTGGGGTACGTCGATCGTGAGCTGTTGTTCGAGCGCAGTGACGACGTCGCGCTTCACAATGCAGATGAGATGGATAGAAATCATACGCCACAATGTGTGTTCTCATCATGTTGCCATCATCTACGATCCCGCGAAGATCGCATGGGTGCACACAACCACACCGTTGTGATTGCGGTTCCTGGGGCAATGGAATATCTTGGTCTGAAACAATGGAAACAAGATGGTTAAACTTAGTAATGACAGTAGCACAGCTGATTGAAGAAACCGAAGGTGGAGACCGAACGTTAGAGAATCACATCAAAGAGATCTGGTCAATTTTGTGCTTTTGCTTTGGGCACTACCATATCGCATAAAACCTATCCAAAATCAACCGCCACCTACCTGTAATATTCGCTGAGGTGCTTTAGCTAAAGTCGAAAAAACCATTAGGCTGCTCGGTGAAATCCAACAATGTATGAATACTCAACTTTACTTGATTCTTTGTATGAATGTATGTATGTATTTGTATTGTATTTGTATTTGTATTTGTATTTGTATTTGTATGTGTATTGTATGTGTATTGTATGTGTATTGTATGTGTATTGTATGTATGTGTATTGTATGTATGTGTATTGTATGTATGTATGTATGTATGTATGTATGTATGTATGTATGTATGTATGTATGTATGTATATTCTAACACCAGAAATAACTTTGTCAAATATTAGGGTGACCATAAAGTTTGTTGGCCATCCGTAAACAACGTCGCGTATAGCAACGCCTTGTGATTTTGCATAATGATTCCGCAATACTGGAAGTACTCGCCTGGGGCTATCTTCTGAGCTAGCTAGCTCTAAATTTCTTTCCCTGCTCTTCCCACAATAAAGCAGTGAAGATGAGTGATAGTCCCCACCACCGCCGATGTTTGCTGGACTACTACAACCTGAGCATCTCCAGACGTCAAGCCACGACCAGGATGCGCCAGCAGTTTGGTGATGACACCTCTTCTAAACACTGGATGTCAAAATGGTGGACTGGCTTCACCAATGGAAACTATGGCATCGAAAATATGCCGAGGTCCGGTCGCCCAGCCACCGTCGATCGACAAGGCATTCTGAATGCCCTGGACGATGAACCAAAGACATCCTTGCGCGACTTAAACAAGGTCATTCAGGTTCCCCGTTCAATCATCCACAAAGTCTTTATTGAGTCTGGCAAGGTATCGAAGCGTCGAGCTGCCCCTAACGACCTCACGCCGGCACAGGCAAGGAAGCGGGTTGAGGTGTGCTCCGACAACTTCAGACTCACAGGCCTGAGGAAGACTCTGGACTCTCTCCTTTGCCAAGATGAGAAGTGGGTCTACTACTCTAATCCTGCCAACAAATCAGTCTGAGTGGATTTCGATGCGCCCCTGCCAAGCTGTGCAAAGAGAAATATGCATGGAAAGAAGCGCCTTCCGTCATTCCGGTTCTCTCGCCACGGCGTCGCCCACTACGGCATCCTACATCCTACCCAACAACGCCACGGTGACGGCAGAGACCTTCTCTAAAGAATTGCAGGAGGTCAAGGTAAAAGCTGCCGCCTTGTCCTAGAAACTTGCAAATCCGTGGTCCGTCTGTCTGTCCGTCTGTCTGTCCGTCTGTCTGTCCGTCTGTCCGTCTGTCCGTCTGTCCGTCTGTCCGTCTGTCCGTCTGTCCGTCT